GCAACCCTCAGTGTTGCCCCCGTACCGGACCAGGGACCGGCAACGGGATCGCAACCCTCGGCGTTGCTCCCGCGCCTCGCGCTGCCAATGAGAGGGAACTGGGCCGTCTGTGGGATCCGAACCCTCGGGCGGGAGCGCCGCCGCGCTTCCCAAGCAGCGCACTATCCAGTGCGCCACCGGGCCGGCCCTGTTTTTTTTATTTCTTTGTCACTTTTTACAGCTTTTGAAGACCAAACTGCAAATACATACATTACCAGGGATGGTTTTGTGTTCTCCTATAGACTTCTTAAATTTGACAAAAAAATATTCAGCGGAACTTATAGCCAACAGCTTTTTTTGAACTTCAAGTCAAAATGTGTTATTAATGAGATTCTATTATTACTTTCAGTTGAACTATTGTAATAATTTTGAAAAGGCAAAAAAGACTGAATAACTATCTGAAAAGCTTTAAAAGTGGCCTGTTACATATGTGGCACAGACAGCTCATGAGCACAGGACACTTAACAGTCTTGTGCCCTCTCCTTCATGTCTGATGTTGCCAGAAATACATCACAGATTCTGTATTTAACATACTTAGAGTGGTATGAGCCCTCAGGACTGCACCACAGAGTAAACACAACCTTTATATGGTGGCAAATTTGTGTGTCTTATTTGTTTCATTTGTGGTTGGGGACAAAGTTGATGTTTTTGTCTCAATAGTTGATACTGATCTTAAATGGTTATATAATCACCTGCTGTATATTGTGAAATGTGCAATAAAACAGAATTGTGTATATATAGTTATCTTTGGATGCCTGAAATTCCCAAGCTCATTTACAATGGTAAAAGTATAAGGCTGGGCAAACATGTAAGGGAATAATCGATAGTAAACAGAATATATAAAATGGGAAGCAAAGGGCCTACTTCGCATTAAGCCAATCGTATTGAACATGGGTTCGGTTTAAGTGAAGTACTATAGCATGAGGAGTGTGCAGTCATCAAATGAAGGCTAGACAGAAGATTATATCTGAAGAGAGAGTAAGCTTTAAAAGAAGTCAGAGCTGGCTTCTTTTAAATCAAAGTATTTCTCTTGTGCAGATGAATGCATATCAAAGACTTGAACAGGCATTCTAAATTTGAGGATTTTTAGTTTCTAATGCTGTCTTTTTTGCTTAATATTAAATATTTGTTGCCTAAATGTCTCCCAGATTGTGTGGCAGAGTCTCTACATGTTTCCTCTTTTAAAGTTTCATTATTAAAAAATGGTTAAGCATACAAAACTATTTTGTTTGATATCTTGAGTTTTGTGACTGAGTTTAAATGAAATCTGTTAAATGTTTTGGAGTTAACATACTTTTTTTGGTAATTGGAATAAAGTTTGTTTTTTAAGCCTTTCTCGTAGTTGGGGTAGTATCTTATTACGAGCACTTTCCTTTTTTGTGGTAGATTAGTCTATGTCTTTTTATTGATAAAACATTTAGCACACTACCTTGACTTTTAGCCACTCACCAAAGGACTTTGCAGGTAAAACAATCCATTTATCCATCTTGTTTGATCATGATTGGTTCCATACAAGTTAATTTTCCAGGTAGTTTAGTTGCAAAGCAGCTTTTTAAAATTAGTTTTTCTTTTTTTTGTCTTTTTCGTGACCGGTAAGGGGATCGCAACCCTTGGCTTGGTGTCGCCCACACCGCGCTCAGCCAGTGAGCACACCGGCCATCCCTATATAGGATCCGAACCCACGACGGGAGCGCTGCTGCGCTCCCAAGCGCCGCACTCTCCCGAGTGCGCCACAGGGCCGGCCCAAAATTAGTCTTTTTCAAATGTAATAAACTTTTCCCTACTGGGTATTAACTTTCTTGGTAAATTCACCTTATCGATAATTTGTTGTAATAGTGTACTGTCAGGTCATGCCTACCCCCAGGTTAAATGGTCCAGATGTTTATGCTTTTTCTGTTGTTGTTGTTTATCTACTATTGTCTTCATAGCTGCTCCTTTCTGTTGTAGCTATTTGGTTAGGAGAGTGTGAAATTATACTAACTACACTGTTGGCTTACGCGCTGGCTGCTCCGTGTCTCTGGGATTGTTGCAGTTGCTTGAAAAGGGGTGGCAAGGTAAGGGAGCAGTTGTTATATAATGATTCTAAAATTCCAGTTTTGGATAGAAATCCATCATAATGAGAAAGTGTAATATCCTGAACTTTGTAATTGATAAAAGGTGTGTTTTACCATCATATCATCTGATGAAATGTCCTTTTAGCCCGCCTATAGCAGCCCTTACAGAGTTCTAGACCTCCCGAGTGAGGCAGTAGATGTGACCAGGAAGATGTGACCATAACTGCAGGGCCCTCCCAAGTATCCAAGAGGCTGGCTCCCAACCTAATACATTTATCTGAAGTTCCCAACTAGGGAACTTTTGTTCCCAAATGAGCATACCTGATTTAAAGGTAGAAATTAAGGGTAAAATAGGATTTATCTAAATTCTCAACTCCCTTCAATCTATTCTTGATGTTGCTGTCAGAGTAATTTTTTATGTAATTTTTTTAACTTAAAAAAAATGTGTCATTACGTAATGCACAGAGTAATTTTTTAAATATCACTTCAATAAATGCATTCCCTTTCCTCTACCATAAAGACCAAACACCTTGCCATGGCCTGCAAGGCACAGGATGATCCAGCTCTTGCCTCCCTTAGTCTCATATCTAGCGGAAGTTGCCTTGCCCAGTTTCTGCACTCCAGTCCCCAGCACTTTCTAATTACTTACGGTGTGCTGTACTCATCTCTGCTCCTAGCTTCTACCCACGCAGACTCCCTGTGCCCTGAACACATACTTTCCCTATTTCACTTATGAACTGAGTCCTTTAGAGCTCAGCTCAAATATCACTTTCTCAAGGAAACTGGCTCAAACTTTCACGACTACGTCAGGCTACCCTGTTATAGGCTCTTGGGTCACTGTGTTCCTATTCTTCATAGCACTTACCCATTTTAATTGTGTTGTAATTATTTGATACCTGTTGCAACTTTAGAATGCCAGTTCAATTATGCAGAGACTTTGCTCTAGTTCCCCCCGTTTCCAGTGCCTGACACCTGGTAGATGTCTGATACATTATTTAAGAATAAGTTGAGAATGAGGAGACACATGGATATTCAGGATCATGGCATTCTTGAATATCCTATCTGACCTTTTTTTTTTAAGTTTATTAATATTTTTTTACATTCCATGATGTTGTGGAGCAGTTGGAGGGGAGGGGGAGAGGGCAAGGGGGAAGGGAATAGGGTGGGAGAAGGAGAAAGAAGGATGGGAGGGTTGAGGCCCCCTCGTAGCCCAGGGGATTTCTGGTTCTTCTAGGTTTTATAGTGTTCTTTGGTGATGTGACAACTTTACTAGTTAATATCAAACTTTGGTCTGTGGGTATATTGTTTTTTCTTACAGTTCTGTGTTGGATTATTTGCTGTTCCTACCACTGAAACTCAGCACTGGAACTAATTAGTTGTCTTTTGCTTACTTCTAAAATGGGGGAACTTCCTGTGGGGACCAGTACTTGAGCTCAGTAGTTGAGATAAATTGCTTTGCTGCTGATTCCTTGGGGAAGGCTTTTTGTGCAGCTCAGGTTTTAATGGTTGACTTTATAAGTATTTCCAGCTCTTGTAAGACCCAGTAAACCTGGGTTGTGTAGAAACTCTGGTCTGGGCCTGAGTCTTTTCAGAAAACTGCACCCCCTGCAGTTCTGTATTCCTGAGCCGTCTCCACTGAGTGGTACACTGACTGGAGGGTAGACCAGCTATCCCTGCTATGCCCCAGTGTTCTACTGGTGGGCCCTGTCTCCCCCACTGCCTGCACTCCAAACCCTTCCCATTCGGCGGGCCATATGCCAGCTATCTGACCATTTGTTGATGGGTCATGGAAGTTAAGGAAGAAGTAATTTTTATGCTGATCTCGAGGTACTGAGCTATCTTAGCTTGGGCTGCCATAACAAAATACCATAGGCTGGGTTGCATAAGAACAACAGACATCTATTTTTGACAGTTCTGGAGGCTAGGAAGTCCAAGATAAAGGTGCTAGCAGACTCAGTTCCTGGTGAGGGCTCTCTTTCTGGCTTGCAGAAGGCCACCTTCTTGCTGTAACCTCACATGGTAGAGAGAGCACTCTAATCTCTTCCCCTTTATAGGTCACTAATCTTATCATGGGGCCCCATCCTTATGACCTCATCTAAAACTAATTACCTTCCAAAGGCCCCACCTCCAAATACTATCACATTGGAGGTTATGGCTTCAACATATAGCAGGGGGTCAGGGGAGACACAAACATTCAGTCTACAACTCTGTTCTTATCCCTCCTGGCACTGTTTCTTAATTGTGGAACTCACCCAAATGGAGTTAAATGAGAAGGGCAAAAAGAAAAGTATTCTTTAAAATAGTTTGCCATTGACTGCTGCTTTGTTACTGTAGAAGCAACCTGTTTTAGTTGTTTTGGAGCAAACCACCTCTGTAGCTGCTCTACCTTTCACCATCAACAGAAATAAAACAATTCAGTTCAGGTACTCTTTGCTAGTTAAGTAGTTACTTGTGGGCAAGGCAGTTACTTGCTCCTATGTACAGTACAGTATAAAAGAAGAACACACGTAGTTACACTGAGATGCTACCCATTTGTTTCAGACAACAGTAGGAAAAAGAAACTCTCAAGGGTCATCATTTCTATAATAGATGATTTATTGTAAGTAGCTTTCTCCTTTCCCTTGGGCAAAAGCAGCTCAGAATTTTCCTTAGCGCTGTAAGACTTTTCTGGGAAAAAAGTTACTAAACAAATTTCTAGGTTTTCTTGGGCTCCCACTCCTCACTCTACACTAAATTATAGCAATAGAGTTTTGAGAAAGAACTGAAAGTAGAGATAAGGGTACATATGGAAGGTGAGTGCCTTTTATTTGTAGTTTGTGTGTAAAATATGGAGGTAAAGTGTAAAAACGTTAGTAGGTGAGGGCCTGAACTTGGAAATACAACAGGTTTTACATGTCCTGAGAAAGCTAAGGTTGGGGGCTGACCAGTTAGCTCAGTTGATTAGAGCATGGTACTAATAGTACCAAGGTCCACAGTTCAATCCCTGTACCAGCTAGCTGCCTCCCCCACAAAAAAAATCAAAAAAAGCTAAGGTGAAGTCCAAGAAGACTAAAGGTTTGCTATCACTATTCAGAGCTCTTGAAAACTTCCACTATATGCCATTCAAGAATAGAAGAGCATGCTGTTTGTGTTTGGGAACAATACCAAGTATATTTGGGTTGATATCAGTTCAAACTAGAGGAAAACAGAATCCCTAATAATTTTAGTTCATGCCTGTTATAGTTTCTTCCTTTTACTTTTTTTTTTTTTTTTAGCAAAGTTACCTTACATGTGCTCAGTATTACAAAACTGCCCTTGTAGGACAAATTATTTTGACTTATGAGATTCTAGACTTATGGAAAATACAGAGCATTGGCCACCTGAGACAAGGTCCATGTAAACATTTAAACATCCCTTGGTTGCCCCACTGCCTCTCAGGCTGGATTAGGTGCCCTTCTGTGGCATGTGATGACTGTCTCGTACCTGGCTCTATCTCCACAACATTTGTGCTGGATCCTTCATGACAATGTAAATTTCTTGAGGGCAAAGATCTGTTTTGTCTTACAGATTTCTGTATCCACAGACTAGACGTCCTCATAATAAATATCTGTTCAATGAATGAATCTCAATCTGATCCTGGACATTCTCTTTATCACTATTATTCTCTCTGTTTCAGAAATATTTTTAGTTTTTTAGAAATTTCTTCTAAAAACCATCAGCGGCAATACATATGTATGATTCCATTTATCTGAAGTTCTAGAAGAGGTAAATCTATAGTGGGATAAAAAAAGAAAAGCAATTGCCTCTGGGAGGAAGAAGGCAGAGACTGACTGAGAATGGGCCTGAGGGAACTCATAGTGGTACTCTATATCTTGACAGGCGTTTGGATTACACAGGTGTATACATCTGTCTAAACTTACCTAACGTACAGTATTTGTGTACTCCGTTGCATGTAAATTTTACAACAAAATAAAAAGTTAAATACCGAACTCTAGTTAACAGGTATGTTGCACATTTTTAGAATGGGTACAGATGTCAGCAATATTCAGAATTCACCAAAAACTAAGATGGATTGATGGGTGGATAGAGTATTAGATAACTGATAAGAACAGTAAAATGTTAATGGTAGAACCTTGGTAAACATTGAAACCTTGTAAAATTCTTTCAACTTTGCTCTGTGTTTGAACATTTTCATAATAAAATGTTGGGGAAAATCATTAGAGGGTTTATCACAGAATACTTATGTCAGCAATGTATTGAGACTCAGTTTAGTTCTTTCAGTATGCTTGTTATTCTTACACTGCCATGAAGTTATACGAGGATACTTCAAAACACTAGTGGAAAAATGGAATTAAAAGATAATACGAATATTTCCATGAACTTTCTGAAGACCCCTCCTAGGACAGTACAGAAATAGTTGCTACAAGGGAACACAAGGCTGTGGCCTAGGAATTTATTTATCTTTCATTAACAATAATGGTATGACAGTACCTTCCCTCAGACCCAAAGTATCCCCCACAGACTGTGATAGGGTTGGTGGGTAAAACAGAGGCTAATCTTTCAACCTCGTTCTTTCTTAGGACTGCCCCAGAAGTGAGGGGTCTACCCATCTCCTGACTAGCAGGGACCAGGGTAAGGATCATGATAGTCCTGCCAATATACTGCAACTTTCAATAAATGCCAGGAAATCCTCCTCTTAATTACACACATTTATTACGTACGTAAAACTATTTAGGTAATAACTGCTACCAAATAAATATAATGTATTCAGAACAGATCTGATACTTAGTATATAACTTTTAAAAGTAATCATTTCACAAGTAAATTTGGATCTTTCATCTCACCCCGACGAAAACTAATCTTTTATAGAGAAGGGCTGTTACAGTTGTCATATTTTACAAGTTACACAGCAGTCTAGTGTACTCATAATTTAAATGACTTTCAAGGAAACAACTATTTTTTTTTAAAGGTTAAAAAAGTGTTTTGAGTTGTGTATGCCCTGGTTAAAGTTTCAGTTGTTACTTTTCTAGATTTATTGTTATTGTTAGCAACAGTTGCAGCTATTTACAGCTCACACCAGGGAGTGTATACTGTAGCAGCCCTCCTTCTTTCTTAGTTAGAAGACCCACAGCACCCAGTCTGTTCCTGAGAAGGTAAAATAATCTTAGCTTAATTAACTGCTCAGTAATTTAAATATGCTAAATTAGGGAAATCTTAGCTCCAGCTGAATAAGTGCCAGCCTGATAATGTACTGAGAATGATGTAGCTGATGGGACACATTGTTGTCCATCCATAATATCAAGCTCAAAAAGTTAAGATGTTTGCTAAACTGACTTCTTTTATCTACACAGAGATCATGGGATCTGTCATCCATGAAAAATCTAAACCCTAGCTGCATTTCTATGTCCATGGTTCTCAAACTGTGGTGCCCCGGCCTACAGCATCAGCTTAGAACTGATTAGAAATACTAAACTGGGGCTCCCACCACAGACCTACACAATCAAAAACTCTGGATATGGACCCAGCAACCTGTTTTAATAAATCCTCCCTTAAAGTTTGAGCACCACTTTCCGTGTCCTCTGCCAGAGAGAGAGGCCTGGAGGAAAACTCAGGGGGCAGGTCCAGTGGATGTTATGAAAGGAAAACTCAGATATTCCCAACAGGGTGTGAGATGGGATGGAGCAGGGGATAGCATGAAGCCTCTCCAAAGAATGAGAATTATACTCTGTGATTAGGATAAAGTCAGAGCTAATTAATGTTGTATTACGGCAGGTCCTTCTAATACCTGTGAGAGGACAACGGAAAAGCTGGTTTTAGCCCAAGACTGCTGGCCCATTGTCTTGAGTGCTCCTGTAGGAGTAGGGGAGGCAGAGATAAGAACCTGATCTGAGGCCTAAAATGGCCTAGGATATGAATCCAAATGCACAGTCTGTCTCTGCCCATGATACTCACTGGGAAATACAGTATTGCCAAATAGAGTTGATACACAGTCTTCTTATCCTTCACACTAGATAACCACTGACGACTGATGGATGACTTCTTAATACATCCACATTTACCCCATCATGGACCAGGCAAGCCTACAGTTATCCCAGCATTGTGGAAAGAATATTTATGAGTATGGGTTTCTTACTTGAAGCCACTCAGAACAAGAGAAACTTTACCAACTCTGGAAGTGCTAAACATTAACAAGTTTTAGGCTTGCTTATCTTTGCCCTTTGATAATATTATGGATTTTTTTTTTTAGTTCCAGTATGTAGTTTTTGAGATGCAGCAACTAATTTTACATAATGTTCCATAAATGTACATATGTGTCATGATTTGAATACCTGTTTCAGACTGATATTCTAAATAGTTTTAAAAGCAGCATATGACAGCTATAAATCAAAATATAGCTAACCTTGGGCCGGCCCATGGCTCACTCGGGAGAGTGTGGTGCTGATAACACCAAGGCCCCGGGTTTGGATCCCATATAGGGATGGCTGGTTAGCTCACTCAGTGAGCGTGGTGCTGACAACACCAAGCCAAGGGTGTTGGTCCCCTTACCGGTCATCTTTTTAAAAAAAAAAAAAAAAAAAAAAAAAAAAAATATATATATATATATATATATATATATATATATA